GAAGGCTGAGCGCCAAAGGATTGAGGCCTTTGAATTGTGGTGCTGGATGAGATTCCTGCAAGTCCCTTGGACCGCAAGGCGATCAAACCGGTCAGTCCTAGAGGAGATCAGCCCTGACTGCTCTTTAGAAGGCCAGATACTGAAGATGAAACTCAAATACTTTGGCCACCTAATGAGAAGGAAGGACTCTCTGGAGAAGAGCCTAATGCTGGGAACAATAGATGGCAAAAGAAGAAGGGGATGGCAGAGGTGGCTAGATGGAGTCACTGAAGCAGTTGGTGTGAGCTTAGGTGGACTCCAGGGGATGGTGGAGGACAGGAAGGCCTGGAGGAATGTTGTCCATGGGGTTGTGATGGGTTGGACATGACTTCGCAACTAACAACAACAACAAAGTAGTTCCTTTATACTCTGCATGAGTCAGACCTCCCCTGGAATGCTGTGTCCAGTTTTGGGCACCAAGGTTTAAGAAAGAGGCAGGTAAATTAGGGTCAGGTGGAAGGCAACAAAAATGATCCAGGGTTTGGAAACATTGCCCTATGAGGAGACACAGAGAACTGGGCATGTTCAGCCTTGAGAAGAAAAGACTTGGGGGGTGGGCAGCATGATATCCCTCTATAAGCACCTCAAAGGCTTTCACAAAGAGGAAGGTCAAGATCAGGATATGGAATAATGAGGTCAAGGTGTGGCAAGCCAGATTCAGGCTGGACATCAGGAAAAGCTTCCTCACTGTCAGAGCAATACGACAGTGGAACCAGCCACCTAGAGGGGTGGTGGGCTGTCCCACGCTAGAGAGATTCAAAAAGAAACTGGGCAGCCATCTGAGTGGGATGGTGTAACCTGGTGTCCTGCAACAGCACAGGCTTGGACTCAATGGCCTTCATGGCCCCTTCCAACTCTACTATTCTATGATTCTATGAAGGTTAAACTTACATTTCCTCTAAAATTTGATTTGATTTTAATTTTTATTTATAGTATTATTTCTTTGATTTTTTGCTGGTTGCTTGAGCTCCAGTTAATGGAGAGTCTGCTGTATAAATACCAAAGCAAAATCGCATTCATGTGTTTATATAAGAAAGCTGTACAGGCCTCCTAACTTCAGGAGCAAACTCTTCAGCCTAATGCCTTACCCATTGCTGTTCTAAAAGAAGTTCCACTATTACTTGAAGTTATTCTTTGTTGCCTCTGTGCATCACACATACAGGCTCTGCACAGGTGTATGCATGGATTCTGTTGAAGACTTTCCTAGCTGAACTTGTCCTGGTGGGAGCCCAGCCCCTCCCTCACCTTGTGTATGTAGGAGGCACTCCTGCCAATTTCCCCCGTTTTTCTCCAACTGCCATTGTGAGTGCCTTGGCTTTTTCCCAGTATTCATTTTTTTCCTTCCTTCTCAAAACTTCTCAGATCCTCTACAAATCTTATTCTCATCAACTGTTATTAGTAGTTGACTGTTCCTAAGAATTTGAATCATTTTTCCTTTTATTTATTTGTTTGTTCAAAGTTTTTATATGCTGTCCAATACTAAAGTCTCTGGATGGCTTACAAAAAAGCAAAAAACAAAGCAACCATATACAACACACAAGACACTGCATCTGATAAATAATGATAAGAACAAAGATAAAACCAGTTAACTGTTAAGATATTGGGAAAATAACAAAGTCTTCACCTGACACTAAAAAGAATAAAACGACGGTGCCAGGCAAACCTCCCTGGGGAGCATGTTCCATAGTTGGTGCTCCACCGCTGAAAAGTCTTGGTTGCTACCCTCCTAATTTCCTTCAAAGAGGGCTCCTAGAGAAGGACCTCTGCCTCAGATCTCAAGGGGTGGGCAGGCACATAGGGAAGAAGGTGCTCCTTCAGGTATCCAGGTCCCAAGCTCTTTAGGACATTATAGGTCGTTTTCATTCAATCATTAAGACAGGTTATTGATAAGAAGGTAGATAGTGAACCCAGGGCCGAGTGAAATAAGACACAGTGGAGAAGGGGGTTAGTCTGTCCCCAATACAACATCTCAGTGGAATTTAGATAATTATCCATGGGCTGTTGAAGGGTTCTGGATTGCGTTGTTACCCACAACAAAGCCACCTTGCAGAAAGTAATTATACAAATTCCCCTTGGCAGAAGAGTGGCATGTATGATCATGTGAACCATTATCAAGCCTATGTTGTTGCGATGAGGGTGACGAAGAAGGAATTCTTCCCCGCTTGCATTGCATCTTCACAGTACTGTCCAGTGCAGCTCTTTTGGGTGGTGCAAGGCCTATTACACATGGCCTGAAAAGGATCCTCTTGCACCATCTGCAACTTGCTGTAACAACTTTGCCCTTTAGGGATAAAATTGCTCAGATTTGCCACAAGCTGGACTCCACAATTGATAGTGGTTTCAGAGCAGGGAGCACCCAGAGCACCATCTGGTCCACCTTTATTGAATGAGTTTTGATTGTTGCAGCCCGAGAATATGGATAAGGTGCTTGGATTGGTCTGACCCACCTCTTGTCTGCTTGACCCTTGCCCTTTGTGGCTGCTCATCAAAGCCAAAAATGGGATATGTACCTGGGTCCAGGAGGTCATCAATGCCTTTCTGAGGGAGGGGTGAGGACCTACCCCTTTGGAGGAGGCAGTGATCAGGCCTTTCCTGTTGAAGGTGACTCTGGACCCAGAGTTAGCTGCTAATAGTAGGCTGGTGGCTAATATCCCATTCTTAGGCAAGATACTGGAACGGGTGGTGGAGAGACAACTCCAGGCACTCTTGGAGGAAACTGACCATCTAGACTCATTTCAGTCTGGCTTCAGACCCAGCTATGGAACTGAATCTGCCTTGGCTGCCCTGTATGATGACCTGTGCAGGGAGAGGGACAGGGGGAGTGTGTCCCTGTTGGTTCTCCTGGATCTCTCATTGGCTTTCAATGCCATCGAACATGGTATCCTTCTGGATAGGCTGGAGGAAGGACTCTGTTCATAGAAAATTCCTCTGCCTGATTTTGAGGGATCTTTTCTTCTCATCACCATCACTGCTCACCAGGTTCATCAGGGTCTCCTATGTGTGGCATTTTCAGGTGGCTGCTGTGGGAAGGACAGATGGAGAAGTCCGCTTTTACTAGCATAGTTAGTCCAGCTTAAATCTGGATCCAGTGTTCTTCATTTTTAATTGCATAGCCTGTTGAAGGCTCTGAAGAACCCAAAAGCTAGAATCATCTTGTGTAACATTTTGGTTGACCTTAATGGGGGTATTATACAACTGCAGATTTTTAACATAGCTTGTTATAGCACTTGCTAGGGTCTACTGGAAAAGGATAACTAAAATGTAAGATGGCTATGCATCTTGGTTCTTGATGGAGCTTGGAAAACTAATACAGTGGTGCCTCAAACTTTGAATTTAATTTGTTTCAGGAGGCTGTTTGAACTCTGAATTGTTCAAACTCCAAAGCAGTTTTCCCCATTAGAAATAATGGAAGGTGAATAAACCCATTCCCAGATCCTAAGCAATACCCATTTCAGTAAACTTAAACAGCAAATACAACCTCCTGAAATTAATTAATGTCGAGGTTATATACAAGGTGTGATTAAAAAATACAGTGAATGTTTAAATTTAAAAAAATACAGTAAAAGACACATTGCCATTAATCCCCCTCAAAAGTACTCCTCCTTGCTTTGAATATACTTTCCCCAGTGCTGTCCTTGCTGCCTCAATGTCCTGAATTGATTCAAGACGAGTCAATTCAAGTCAAGATAAGATGAATCGATTCAAGGCGAATTGATTCAAGACAAGGCGAACCAGTTCAGGACATTGAAGCTTTTTTCCAACTTGAGCTCACAACTGATGACGTTTTCACTGCAACCACATTTTTTCACTTCACTCGCACTTCGAACTTAGAAGCTTTGTTCGAACTGTGGAGTGATTTTATCTTGACTCTAAAGTTTGAATTCTGGATCATTTGAAGTTAGAATCATTCAAACTATGAAACAGTACTGTATATTGGCAGATTTTGGCTGATATCCAGAGAACTGCATAAGTGGTATGTTTGACTTTTGTTTGTTTGCTTAAGTAGTAATACCTTGCCTATTCCGTGTTTCAAAGGTAATTTATAGGAGAGAGAATATATGTGCTTAGCAACAGTGTTTTGGTAGCTAGGTCCTCTGGATGAATAAAATGAACCTGTTTGCAATTCTGTTCTATCCATAAGCAGGCTAGTAGGAGATTCTGTAGTAAGCTAAGTTATTTACATGGCTTGTTTGAAGCACAATACAGGGAAGTGGATGCTTACTAATGGTGAAGTAAAGTCCATGGGTTGGATCCATGTTTAGTCAAGTATTGAGAAGACTATTGAGATCATTGGCTCTTAAGTCTACTTTGATTAAATTTGGATTCAGCTCAATGGTTCAAAGATCAAAAGGGTCATCTGGATTGTGGCTTCTTTTAAAGACAGGAAGTATATTTTAAAAAGTGTATTCATTTTATATGCCACTGGATTGAGAGCTGTTCCTTATTTCTTCCACAGTATTGCTGCAACATGGAGCTGATCCAAATATTCGGAACACAGATGGGAAATCAGCTTTGGATCTTGCAGATCCTTCTGCAAAGGCCGTACTTACAGGTGAGAAGTAACTGAGTTTTGTTTAATTCAGTATCTATAATAACCTTTTAAATCATCTTTGTCTTTTCTAGACTAAAATAAACATAGCATTTGCTTTGTTTAGTATTTGTATCACTAAGTGGCAACTAAATACCAGGGTTATGAGTTGCTTTCATAGCACTCTTTCTTGCAAGTTTAATGTTAATGTTATGGCACATACAATTCCATGTGGAATATCTACAGTATCAGTGATGATAGTTACCAACTTGCTGACTATTTCTGTTATGAAAATTTTGTTTGAACTGTTTCAGTCCTTCACAAAGTTGATGTACAAAGTAATTGAAATATTATATGTTGACCTAAATAATAAGTAAAGTGTCTAAAATTCACAGACCACAAGCTGCTGACTAGAAAATTCAGTGGACTCAACAATATGTCTTTAAAGGGGCTGAGGATGAGGTGTAACAAGGGTAAAAGACAAAAGTGATATTTTTTGTTCAGTGCTGAATTCTGATATCACTGCCTTTCTAAACAATGTCTTTTCTCTTTTTGGCGAGGAAGGTACAGACTACTGAGAGAAACATTAGTAGTGTAGTTTGTTTTTCTCATCTCTGTGCCTTTACTCACTTGTATGCAGAAAGGGGAATATTCAAGACTTGGAGATAGTAGTGAAACTTTTTTTTTACACAAGAAACCTGTATTGCAAAAGGGTTCTGTTGTGTTTGTTCCTGTCTGGTCAAGACACATGCATGTGTGCACACCCATTTGAAATTTAATGAAATTTAATTATATTTTTGTTTATTTAAAGATCTTCCCGTTTTTCTTCCAAAAACACAAGGCTGCTTACATAATTCTCTTCTTTTTAATCTTATCATCTCAACAACAGCCTGTGAGGTAGATTGGACTGAAAGTCTGTGACTGGTCCAAAGGCACCCAGTGAGTTCCATGGCTGAGTGGGAACTAGAACCCAGATTGCTCAGTCCCGCACTCTTAAACCCTACCACCTTCTCTATCTCTTTCTCCCTCCCTCTTTCTCATATGCACAGAAATGCTTGAAAAGTTAGAGATTTAAAGATGGAAAATAATATGGTGGTAGTGTTGAAATCTGGAGTAACAGTGCTAACAGTTGAGGAATCTGACCAAATTCTAAGCATTCATGTTGCTCAGTTTTTGCATCCTTCTTCATGAGGAATAGCTTCTGTAGGATAATAAATGTAATTATAATTAGAAATTATAAATATAAATGAAATTATAAATTGAATATGAATCAAGGTGACAAGATTGATGGAACAAAGGCCGTCTCAGAGTATATCTGGACAATCTCAGTTTAAGTACCCAAGGTCTCTCGTCAACAAAAAGCCCCAGGAACCAAGAGTGGGCCAGTCTCTCCCACATTGCAGACAATTCAGTGGGAGTTGTTGGTTTCTGAACAAGAGGAGGAGGAACAGAGAGGAGGCAAAGCCTTTGAAATGCCTTCAATTGTGCCTAGTGAAGTTCCTCAGGCTGAGCATGAAAATCAGTCTGCTTTAGAAGAAGAGGAAGGGTTTTCAGGAGGGAAGTGAATATGACCCAGTCCTTGACCCAGTGAGGAGGCCTCAGAAGAAACAAGCTGGTTAATTGCGGGGATTCACCAGTTGTACTGTCTTGCTCTCCACCAGTGAGAGCCGCCCTGAGGGTGGAGCCAGAAGCTTTATGTAAAGGAGGAACTAAGGGGATGTTTCTTTGCATAAGCAGAGGCTTCTCTTTTCATCTTGGTAGAAGGCTATTTAGAGTTCAGACTGATTCTTCTGTCTGTGAAGACAATGAACTGCTTTTCAAAGGATTGCCTGGTTTTTGGAACCAGAGGGAAGGAAAGAAGGGGCCAGCTCATGACTGCACCCATCAAAGATAAACCAATACTGTATCTTATTCAGTAGTGTAAATTCTGGCTGGCACTGGCCTTTGAGGACTTGAGACAGATTTTTCCTAACCATATTGAAATGCGTACGTGGAAATTAATATGACTCTTCATTCTTTTAAAGCATGCAGTGTACCATTAGCTTACACTGGCCTGATTCAGATGACCTGAAAACCCGTCAAGGCTAATTAGCCACAGAAGGTTTTCATGATGCCTGAACTTAGATTTCTTCTGCAGCATAGCCGGAAGTCAGACTAGATGGCCCGGGAGGTCCCTTCTGACTCGCTCTGTTTTCTATGTTTCTGTGTTTATTTGGGGCAATATCCCATGGCTTGTCCTAGGGTTTATTTGATCAACAGTTGGTTGTTGTGTCATTTGATCCTGGAAGAGCCGACTCATTATGGGTTGCAGGGATTAACTAGTAAGCCAAAAGACAAAACTCAGTGAAAACCCTTGCTGCTTTTCATGATCTTGCCTTTGCTACCGTCAATGACAGTCCCACTACCATCACTGGTTCACCGTCTTTAAAAAAAATTGACATCAGCAACTTGTTGAAAAGTTCTCAGAATTATTGTCCTTGTGACTCTTTTACAAGTGAATTCATGCTGCTGTCTGACATGTATCGATTGCTTGGTCAAATTGCTTTTGTGTTTCATCTGTCAAATGGAATACCAATGAGGTGTTGGCAATATATAAGGAAATTGACAAGGCAAGACTGCCAATTATATGAATAATTGTACAAATTTCTTGCTCTAAAAATATAATTTTAAAAATGTTGATGTCCCACTTGGGAATTTTGGAAAGCTTGAGATTACAAACAGTGGTTTTTGAAAAGGGAAAAAGGAGGAGGAAGCTGCACAAATGCAATTGTGGTGGGGGATACTGAGCCGGGTGGAGGTTGCTCCATCATGCTGCTTTAGCACTGGTGATGGGGGGGCGGGGGCTGCAGTTGCAGTCCCCCAGGCTAGCTCCACAAGAGTGGGAAGAGGTTTCTGTCTTTGCTGAGTGCTTTGCATGCTGCTTCCCAGTACCCACAATGGGGTTGATCACCTGGGTGCCATGCATTGTCTGGGTGGCTTGTTGGCATAAAAAAAGCTACTCTACAAGAAATACTCAAAGTTCACATGACACAAGAACCCAGTGTGGTTTGTCACAGATGAGTTTGTTAATGTTGTATGAATGAGGTCAATTGGTTCCTGACAGATATTTGCAACTTAGCCTATATGTCATTTCACATGCCTGTTACATACTCAGCTTCCCTGCTTCCTTTGGCATCAGAAACAAAAAAGGAAATATGACCAAGCAAGGCAATATGTTTTAGGCAGTCTTAAACAGTACATTTACAAAAGATCAACAAAAAGAAGAAAAGAAAAATTGTGAACACAATTGCACTGTTCTCAGGGGCTAAAAAATATCAACCTCAATTATTCTTTTTTGAGGTTAGAAGAAAGAGGAGGAAAACCCACAGTAAGTCTTACCTGTCAAGTGCATCATGAATTCATTCATGAACAATACATACAGTGGTACCTCTGCTTACGAACACCTTGGTTCACGAACAAATCGGGTCACGAACAAAAATTTCTGAAAATTTTTGACTTGAGTCGCGAACACAGCTTTGGGTGGCGGCCTAGATCGCAGCCATCTCCCCCCCCCCCCGAGCGGGGAGATGGCCACGATCACAGTTCTGATCATGCAGAGAAGGCATGTGTGATCAGAGGCGCGCTGCTGCAGGAAAGCTGGGAGCAGCAAAGCAGAGCCGTGGGGGAGATGGCCGAGATTCCACCTGTCTTTCCTGCAGGAGCGTGCCTCTGATCAGGTATGCCTTCCCTGCACGAACGGAACTGCGATCGTGGCCATCTTCCCACCCCCAGCGCACCGTTTGCGCCTATCTCTCCCTCCCCCAGTGCACCTGCAATCATGCCCGTCTCCCCCCCCCCCACCAGCGTGCCAGAATGACGTGTGGGTGCAGGGATGACAGGCACGATCTTGGTCGTGCTGTGGGGGCAGGGAGATGGCCGCATGCGATCTTTGTTGTTGTCACTTTGCTTCACATTTTTCTGATTTAAAAAAATGGTTACAGAACAGATTAACCTTATTTACATTGAACCTTATGGGGATATTTGACTTGGCTCACGACCAATTTGGGTCATGACCAGAGTCCTGGAATGGATTAAGTTCATGAGCCAAGAGGTACCACTGTACTTTGTAGTTTTATTTGCCTCTTAATGTATCGTGTGAACCCACATGATGCCTTATTGTTAATTTTGTGATGCCAGTGAATGCGCTGTGAATCTTGCATTTCAATTTACATGCAGCAGTGGTTTGAATTTTTCTTGACTCATACAGGCCAGCATTATCCATTTTTGATATAAACATTTTTGGGCTGTTAATTAGAAAACTCTCCTGTTTAACTCTCTTTAATCTTTTATCTAACCTTTTTCTGTGTGGCAGTTTGTGGCAAAGGAATGACAATTCCAGTCAGGTGAATTTTAAAAAGACTGCAACTGTTCACAGGAGCAAGAACATGCACCTCTATCAGATCATAATAAACTCAAGTGACCCCAAGGAAGAAATGTTAAGGAGGAGAGCTCTACTTGAAAAAGAACTTGTTAATTTTCTCCAGGAATACTCAGTTGACACAAGTGGGTAAAGAAGTACCCACCTGTGTTGACTTTAAGAAGACTGCCCTGTGGCATCTTGTAAAGACTAATGAGTATATTGTGGCACAGGGTCTCTTTTTAAGGTATCAAGCTTGCATAGCTTTTATTTTAAACTTATTGTCAGGATCTGCTGGGTTTGTTTCAGCCCAGTTTCAAAAAGTAGGGAAATGTTTTGGCTGAGAAGGGGTAAATTGAAAATAGTTGGTACAACTTCTGGCAGTTGCCCCTCCCAAGGGAAACTTCCCTCATGCTTTGAAAACAAGACGTTTATAGAAATCTCTAAAAAGTCATGAATAACCTGCTTCAGACAAACAGGAATGGGTTTGCACAATGTGGGGCCCAGAAAACTAAATGTAGCTGACCAGTCTTGCCTTGTGGTCTTTTGGGTAAATGATGACCCTGTGAATCTGCCATCACTGGCAGACAGCAAAAAATTGGAAATTTACATGACTGGTAGGTAACAA